AAGAACCATGAGTTCGTCCGAAAGGTGTCAACTCTTAAGCGAGTCGGATTAAATGATGGTCAGTTTCGACATCATCTCATTCTTTATGAATGTGTAAAAAAGTGACGCATTGGAGATAGCAAAACACTGTTTGAATTAGAAAGGACGAAGCACGCACGCATCGAAATTAAGCACTCAGGAAGAGGCTGTAGCCAAGGGATGGCCAACATCCTCTATGTTGAAATTTATAGACAGATTTTGGAAGAAAAGCGCTGACTGACTATGGAATTGGAATCATGCAGTGACACTGTCATTCCTTGACTGCTTAGTTCACAGGAATGAGAGTAGATCTAAAGCAACGATATTTTGTAAACCGATGGACAGAGACGGGGTAATTCCCTACAATTAAGGCCACCCAAAGAATGTGTATGCCGGGACCTTATGCACAGAAGTAGAAGGTAGGGAGGTCGCGTGGAAAGAAGCAATGAATCAATTGCTTGGTAGGGGATACCGCAGGAAGTTAGTACCACGCCAGTTGCAGTGGATTATAAATCCCCGTACACTAGGTAATAAGGATTGGAATGGAACGATAGGAATTCCTTATATAGGGGGAACTCCGGGGGCCATCCATGGGGTACTATACAAAGAAAAGGGAAAGGTGATTTTCCAGGAAAGTCATACGTTCCTTGGTGCACAAGAAAAATCCGCCCCCCAAAAAGGGAACTGCAATACAACCTTCATAATTTGGCCACTCAAAAGAGTGAACAAAAGTGGTAAACATACAGAGGTCTAGATCAATGAGACCTACAGAGTGAACGTTCAAGCAAGGAGATTAATCGTAAGCGTTACTCACACGTGCACATAGCCCAAACCCGTGCACGAAGATACACGAACACAAGAGGAGCATAGCCCGACCGCCGAGGAATGAGTATGAATAGTCAAGTCAAGGTAAGCTTTATGTACTCAGATAGGCGCACTTTCAACATTTTACTGTATCAACTGCTGATGAAATACAAGGACATATTTACAAATGCTAAGTTTTGTAAATGGATACAAAAAATGGAAAAGGGGCATTGATGTCACTCGAGTAAAACGGTCTGCGTTCTGGAACGCTAAGTGCATACTGATAAACAGAATCCAGGTGTATTTTTCCTAGCCGATACGGCATATTTTCGTGAGGTCGGTTCTTAGACGTTTTCAACTGGCCAAAAGCAACAGACTGCGAACAGTGCACGGTATCTGGGCTGCACATTTAAAACATCGGTCTTATTGACCTTGAAAGTACTGTGGACAAAAAAATCTGTCAAATTACCCCTTTAAAACTTATTATATCCGCAGAAGATAAAGTCAAAATGATGTGCCATGAAAAGGCTACGGCTGAGTTAATGGCCCCGATCTAGTAAGAGAGATTTGGCTGTAGCCATACACGCAATAGATACAAATAATGAAATCGGCTAGGACGATGTCAAGATCGTTAGGAGGCAGCTACGATCGACACTCCAAAGGCTAACTTCTGAGGCCGTGAAAAAAATAGTCAACAGTTGCGTGAACAAAATGGACGGGGTAGAGCTTTCAAAGTTGTGGCCCCGGTTATCTTAACACGACCGGTTTAAGAAGCATCGGATCCGAGGTGGAGGGTGATCATCAAATAATTCCCACACCCATCATTAACAGGGGTTTATGTGTGATGACCTCGTAACGTGGACCAATGGGACCGCTCCACGCACCGCTTGAAGTGAGACTGACCTCCAACACCATTGCCCTTCTACTTATATTCCAGTCATCGCGATTATCTTCGCATTTTAATGAGTGCTGGTTTACTCGGATTGACGAAGTTTATGTCGAGTGAGAAAGGTTGCCCACAGACTAAACCAACGGGTTGTTTTCAAACATTGCTGTAATCATAACGGTAAGCTTTCCCTCCTAGTCCTCTAGGTTAGTGGTTGGAATGAGGTAGTTCCTTATTCCTTAAAACGGACTCCTTGTACCCCAACGACAAACCCGCTGCCTTGCGGTCACGTTTTTGAACCAAAGACTTTGGTTGAGAACCTTAATCGTTCTACTGTCTAGGCTTGGGCAAACTGACAGTATCCTGTTCACGTAATACTATGAAACGTTCACTACACATTTTTTTATGCATTGGCCGTCGCAGAGGACAATAAACAGCGCCCTATCTGCCACATCGAGCAAGGGGGATAGGGATTTAGATGCTACAGCTCAGGCCCTCCCATCTTCTTGTTCTTCCCACGTATTTTCATCCTTAGCCACCTGCTCCAACTTCATTCGTACCTCCACAATTATTGGCTCTCCTCCGTCTTGCTTCAACAGTCACTAGTTTTCTAGTTTCAACTCACAAACAATCGCAGGTCGTCGCTCAGGTCCAGTCAACAAGCCCATGTCCAAACAAGCGGTCCACCACAGTTCATCGGCTTTCATTTGTAGCCCTCGATCCTCTATCATATTGGTATGCCTCAAGGTAAACACACTGCTACAGCTAAGTCAACAGGTAGCACCTGCCCGAACATAAGAGACCCTTTCGCTCGATACCTGCTGCTTATCGAAGACCCGCCTGTAAGAATCGAGCACTGTGCACACTTTGCGATTCCCTTCAAGTGACACCAGCAGTACTTTCTCATTGCGCCTATCAGGTGACGATATAGCTTCGAGCACCGGCAAAGCCGGTGTCGGTATTGCCCTGACTCCCCGGGCTAAAACTGCTCTGGTTGACTGGATCTCAATCAACAGCCGTGTGTGTGCGGTCCGATTGGCTGGCCCGTTCAAAGCTCCGAAGTTTCGCGGGAATAACAGGCGAGCATTAGTCATCGCTGCCTACGCATCCGCTAACGCCAGCGATGACTCGGTAAAAGACGACTAGCGACAGATGAAGCACGGACACTGTAGTGTTGGCTGGGTATTTGAACGCTTAAGTTGGAAAATTATCCACTGATGAACTGCATCTTGGCGGTTAACACGATGCACGCTCCTGTAATGATAACAGTGAGTGGTTACTTCATTTGCGTGAAGATGCCCGCTTATTTCTTTCCAGCACTAATTTCCGACATAGCACCCGCCGGAGGGTAAGTTGGCGGTAACCAGCCATGGACGCAAATCGATCAGATCGAGATGTTACTGGTGGAGAGGCTGCGTTCAGAATGGTCGCTCGATTTGGAGCATATGTGTGGACACTGACAATGCATTTGTTTATGCTGATCTGCGAAGGCGTTTTGGCGGACGCCCACAATGACGCTGTGAGCGCATTGACACCAGACATCTGGCGAAGCCAATTGTTCTGAATGCGTATCAAAATACGCTGACATGCAGGTAGAGTAACCACTCACGGGATACAATTGAAAGTCACAGGTCTCATGTTCACCAGACCTTAATAGCGGGAAATCGCGTCCACAGGACATGACTTAGGTGTGGATCTGCCCACAGAAGAACGACTTCTTGACTTGGAGTATGCTGACGACATTGCCCTAATCTGTGACAGCTCCCAGGCGTACTAAGCGGCACTGGATAGATTAGCACCAGCTGTCAGTCGCTTCGGGCTTTGCTTTGCACCATGGAAATGCAAAGTGCTCCGCCAAGATTGGCCTGGATCGCCTCCTGCGCTGACCCTTGATGGGGATCAGCTAGAAGTCGTTCAAAAATTCAACCACCTGGAAAGTTGAATCAGCTCCCGTGGGATTGAAGATGAGATCACGAACCGTATAGCAAAATCTCTTGGCGCTTTTGCTAACCTTCGCCACTTACGACGCCGGAGCATCACTCTCGACCTAAAGGGTAGAGTGTACAATGCAGCCGTACGTTCGACCCTACTGTACGGTTGTGAAATCTGGCCCCTTAGATTAGAGGACATAAAGAGGCTAGTTAAGTTCGACCACCGGTGCCTTCGCAATTTAGCTCACATCTGGTGAGAACACCGAGTTAGCAACGAGCGTGTTCGATGCTTTGTTCACGGCACAGGAAAAGGAACTGAACCGCTCAGCACCGTTATTTCACGTACAAGGCTTCGATGGTTCGGCCAAGTATTACGCATGCCAGCCCACCGGCTCCCGCGACGTGCGTTGTTTGCGCGCCGGGCGTGTGGATGGAAGAAGAGGATAGGTGGCCAAGTGATGACTTGGTCGAGAGCAATGTAGACTTTCACTTCGAAGCTGGCTTTAGCTCACTGATTGGGGTCCGAGAGACGATGAACACGTTTTGCTTGATACACTTGCTAGCATGACTGTTTATATATATATATATATATATATATATATATATATATATATATATATATATATATATATATATATATATATTTGCAACAGTCTATGAATAGACATTGCACCATCGGAAACCATGGAACTCAAAACAAAGTACAGAAATAGTAAAAGAAAACACAACACAACACATCAAAGTCCACGGTTTCGTCAGAGGGCGAAATACTACCCGGTTGCCCAAGCCGAAGTAGGGTGTTGACTTGGGGGACACCACCCCGAGCTTTTGGCTGAATAGCCTGTCCGCAAGACAGCGGAGCGAATTCAGGGAATCGCGCCCATTGGGAGCCGGTGACTGATTGATCAGTTCATACGCCTTTCGTTTGTTCCTTTGCCAAACAGGGGCCCAATGCTCCCCGAAAGTACAGCATCAACTTGCTGGAATACAATGCTTCGCCAGGATGAAGCAAGGGGCAGTGACTTTATTTAGTGGCGAGTCACGTCCGCCACGTCACAGTGTTGTTAAACGGACATATGTGGCTTTTTATAGGGAGAACGCTTGCCAGGCGAAAACCCACCACATCCTGGAACACTGCCGCCGAACCATTTGCTGGAACGGGAAAATCCCGAACCACCCAGCTGGCACCACGAGGAGGTTGTTCGGCAAGCCAGCGAGTTTCATTGTCTCTCCTCATCCCCCTTAGACACGATTTCCAACCACGAACTCATTTATTAGCATAATAAATTTTTTGCTGCATAGCAGCCTGCTGGTAGGTCAGCTGACATGCATCTGTTGCACATTTTTCTTGGTTCTCTTTTAAGTATTGCGGCACAGTACCTGAGGTGTTTTCCCCCTCTAATTAACGTGTATAATGACTAAAATGAGGGCGAAACACACATAGGATCGGGCCAAGGTACCTCGTCTGTGTATGAAGGCAGACCAAAGAACAGAACGAATGGGTAAAGTGGAAACAGCCATCGCCCACAACCGTACATGATAATAAAGAAGAACATGGACTTGATACTCTAAACAAGGCTTTTCTTGCGTAAAGAACCATGCGTTTCTGGATACATATATATATGGTACATATAATAGTGTGCATGGTGTGACATCGGGAATTGCATTCACCAAGTGGTCTATCCGGTCAAACAAACAAAATCGAAGCCAGTTCAAATGTACACGAGCAAACGCAGAGGCGAAATCCGCTCACACTATATACAACCCATCCGGAATGGAAGACAGCCCCTCTCACACGGATGCACGACAAAGGAAACATACAGCGTTGCTCAGAACAAACGAACTAGAATGAGGCGGTCCGCATAAATCAGAGGAGAAAAAGCTTCGACAATAAGCATACAACGAGTGGCATCTGTCCACAATAAAGGAACAATCAATGTGGAAATAAGAAGAGAATGCCTAGATAGCGATGGCTATGGATCAGCCCCGAGAATGAGGAGACCGAAGATACAGTGCTATGCCATGAAAAATATCACGCACAGCTGTGATGCCGAAAAATAGTAAATGCATATAATCAAAGGGAAAATTCCAAAGAAGCAAAAAAATAAAAGCACAATATTTCCGCGACCACAACCCGAAGAATGATGCATAGATGAGAGTTAACTTCACGCGATGTACTGTTGGATCGGAGGGAAGACTGAAGAGGAAAGTCTGATTTATGCGTAATCACCGCAAAATGAGGCGAAAATGAAATGAATTAAAAATACAAAGCAGTTTAATTGTTTGTGATGAAAGCGGGAGAGACAGTCGCCTTAAATGCGTCTACGGCAGGGATTTTGAGGTAAAGGAGAAGAGAAAACATGCAGTTCACTGCAATCTTGGAAAGAAACTGCAAAATAATGAAAGACTGGTAAATGGAGCGCAATGAGTGAAGGGGACAAGGAAAAAGAGTTATGATCAACATTATTAAAAATGTCTAGCATAGAGAGAAAACGAACGGACAAGGGGAATGAAATGCTGTTGCAAGCATACAGACGTACAGAAAAGCCGGATTTTGTAATCAAACGGAAATCTCAAAAGTCCCATCAGGTAGGGGAACGTCTTGGTCAGGAGGCCAGTCAGCACTGGGGGATGAATTTTTTGGATTATTGGCAAGTGCGTTCCCAGTGGACCTATGGCCTTTCGAAGAACGAGGATGATGGTGATGTGGAGGCGGAGGTGGTGTTGGTGGTGGAGGTTGGTTCGGAGTGGAAGATGAATAGACAGTGGATAAATTGGCGGGATTGTTCGCAGATGCGGTTGGCTTGATGGTTACTGAGGTGTAGCTCGGTTGGCCAGGAGTGGGCGACGGTCCTGAGTTGGAGACTGGTGAATAGGTTGGTTTAAGGCCAGTCAAAAAGACCGGTTTCGGAGATACATCGCCACTAGGAGGGTTTTTCAAAGCTACCTCAACAGCGTGCCGTGGAACAGGAGGCCAAACGGAGGCATTATATGTGTGACTAGGAGGTCGTAAGAATGCTGACGGCGAGTGAGCCGCTGGACCGCGAGGCTGAGGATTAATCGTTCGCAAGGACATTCGGAAGTGGGTTGGATAAGGACTAGCATCATGAGGTGGTTGTCGCGATTGGCTGATAAGGCGACGATCATCGGTAGGTCGTTGAGCGATACCCATCGGTCTGTACAGACTTCTTAATGACACATTATTTGGTATGGGTATCATCTGAGGTGGGAATACAGTGGGTTTGCGAGCCACTTCCGGAGCGGATCCAGCACCTGCGGAGCGTGATCGAGACTTTGGAGACGATGGAAGTAGGGTGTGCGGTGGTGCATAGGTGTCGTTTAAAAGTAAACGGGGAGACAAATGGTGATCTCCGGTAGATTGCACGACACCAGAAGAATTAACAGGTACATAAGATAAGGTAACAGAAGCGTGTGGCTTCTCGCGCAAATTACACAACGAGGAGGAAGGCTGACCAGCAGATAGTTTGTCTGGAATGGTAGTTCCGGCATGCACAAACATCTGTCTAGAGAAATCCCGTGACGATTTACGAGATGAAACACTCCCCTTCGGCATCGAGGGATGAGCCAATGATTGAGGCCCTTGAGGAAAAGGTGAAATGGGCGCCATCAGATAACGCCTGGATGAAGCTGCAGAGGATTCACGTGTAGAATGTAGCAAACTGGAGGTTTTACGGAATTTACGTCCAACCGCTTGGTCTGCATTATTCAGTGGTGAAAGGAGCAGAGCTGAGTGATCACCGGTCGAAGAGTAATAAGAAGTACCAGAATCTGCACCACCTCGTACACACGTAAAGCCTCCAGTGGTGCGCGGAAAGCTTGTGGTTGGTTGAACGAGTGAAGAACTGGGAGTACCAGGACCGTAATACACGGAGTCACAAGGGAGCGACGGGTTGGTATATTGATTTTGTTGACTGACAAACGGAGGTCCAGATGCGTGTGGAACGCTTACAGTAGGAAGCGATCCGTGACCTCCTTCCTCCATCGTGCGAAAAGAACTAGAACAAGGGACCGAAACTGACCGCTCTGTGACAGTTGGATCGTCGGTTCTAGTAAGCATTTCAGATGTCAGCACAGTTGTCGTGGTCTCAGGTCGGACCTCGGGTGCCCCAGCGCTGGATGGATGGTAATTGTCACCGGCTAGCGAGAAGCTCGTGGAGACTTGCGCGGGCACAGTGGAAATCTGGGGTACGTCAGCTGGCGCAAGTGATTGAGCGGGGTCGACTGCACGATCGTCGGCTTTGGTGACGTGATGCTGTGAACAACAATAGAAGAAGGTAACATAGTTGAGACGAAAAAATCGTAAAAAATCAAGATGCTTCAAAAAATCATAAAGAACTGCGATTCTTACGACAAAACTGGAATCTATCGCCAAAAAACACGGCAATGCCGAGAAGGATGTGCTTAAAGAGAGGCAGCGGATTGTACTCACCTAGGATAGCAGGTCGTTCATAGAGATATAGGTGCGTCCCAAAGTTGAAACACAACTGATTTAGTCGTTTTGAAAGGTAGTAAGCGAGAATCCGCCATGTAAAGATAACGCATGAATGTGATATGAGGAAAGGGGATAATAAAGAAAACGAGCTCATCCCAGTAACTGGCTAGTTCAAGATGGTAGTCCACCCATAATAACAGTATGCGTTAATAAGAAGTAACTGGCGATAAAGCGCAACAGAGGTCTTAGTGAGGGGATTATATGCATACTGAATTCGTCACCCAAAAAAGACTAAGACTGATGGTCGGAACGGATGATTGACTCTAGCCTAGCGCTCACGTTATGCATTGCTAGAGGTTTGAAACAGTCATAAGCTTGGGGAACAGTGAATGCACATAATAAAGTAAAGAAACCATGTCTCTGCAACACAAAATGAGAAAACAGCATCCTGAGAGCGGACAAATAGCGTGTGATTACTACTGAGAGGAACCAATTACGTTGTAGAATCGTCACCCTACACACGAGGCGATGTTCAGTACGCCGAAGCTAAGAAGGACTTGCTGAAATGAGTCAAAAAGTAACGCCGTCTTTTTGAAGACAGGTATAAACACACGAACACGTATCATACAACAAAATGAAGCTGGTCCTCTGTGGATCACATCCTACTTGTCAACACAGTCACAGTTTCTTCTATAGCATTGTCACACATTAGAATGAGAGCACGTATCCCTGCTTCGTAAAATTCCGCAGACTGTCCTTTCAGCCACTTCATTACTGCAGTTTTCACTTCCTCGTCACTGGAATAATGTTTGCCTTTCAAACTCTCTTTCAAGGGGCCAAACGGATGAGAATCAAAGAGGCAGTCAATGGAATGGCACTGCTCTACGCCACCGCACATTAAAAGCAAGTTGTGCCGTGTCCGAGAGAATGCATATATTATGATGGCTTGTAACGAAACACCAACCGTTTGGCTCAGAACTTGCCAACAATGACTATACCTTTGATACTAGTATCGATTTCGAATGGATCCCGGTGAAAAACCGCATGTGCGTGATTCGGCTTCGACCAAAGAGGGGTTAGTAAAGCGCTATCCGATGCCAAGAAGTTCCGGCGTCATTAATCCGTGTGCTACAGCAAACTGCATCTTGGAGTTCGTCAGACGAATTCTATCGATAAACCAAAATGCTTATGCGCTTTGGTGAAGAAAAGGGAAATCGATGCAGTATTTACTGATGTGAATGCCTAAGCGGATTGATTGTCGGACTCCAAACGCCTAATAGGACATTTCGAGGTCGATGGATTGCGGATAAATAATGATGATAGACTTCGCCTCTTATGTGTCGACTACCGATTCCAACACAAAGGTAAGCATCGCCACTTCATAACAACAATGATCCGTGCTCTAAAGCGCGGTGAATCCAGTTACCTTGACGTCTGTGACGCAAACAATAATTATGGCGACAGAATTATTGATTCAATGGTGTTAAGCAGCTCATGGTAACAGTGAGTACGTAACCCTATTGGTGCAGTCCATCTACAGGACGACAGTCAGAGAGAAGATAAGCATCTGTCTAAAATTGCAGTCTCTTCATACATTTCTACCATATCACTGGTTGATCTTCCATGGGTTTCACCCAATTAGGCAGGATGGTGGTAAACAGTAGACGCTGAGGCGACCGACCTGCAGACATGTGGAGATGAGAAAAGCAGTGGTGATTGGTGATTCAATAGGCGATCCAGTAAGACCAAAGAGGGACTTTGGTAGTACTTGCTCGGTGTTCTCGCCAAATGTGAGCGATAATCCATAGGCAGCTATAAACAAACGGGCCCAACGCTAAGCGTTGGGTCATAAAACGCCACCCACTTGCTCGGCCTGGGCAATCGGGAAGCACCACACAACCTATGGATCCATGTCTCAACAATTACTCACTCGCTCACTGCTCTCCCTCTCTTGAACTGCTTTCCTCGGCCAAGATGCTAGCGGCCGAACTTGTAAAACTACGTTTTGCCGCAACACTGTTAAATCATTGTATTCCAAGTTTGTTCAACCGTCCCCCCATTCTTGCTCTTCCTTCTCTATTTCCGAGTCCACAACATAATGCCGCATTGGGCAATCGTTATCGCCATACGGATCAGCAGTTTAGGTCCGAGGGTGCGCCAAGTCATGTTGACAAGTCATTTCTAGCGGTCCACCCCCAATTCAAGCTAGCAACCTGCAATGTTCGGACGCTGATGCAGATCGGATCACAGGCGGCCCTTGCTCGCACTCTAGAAACTACGGCCGCTGATGTCTGCTGCCTCACTGAGACCCGTTTACAGGAATCTAGCACGACGCTACAACTAACTTCACCGAGTGCAGGTTCCACTGCCATTTTTAATTTGAGCAATTTTGGAGACTCAACCGCCGAAGCAGCTGGTCATAATAATAAAAAATAAATGGCCAGCTGTACGCCGTAACGGCGCTTCGCTGCCACGCGAACACCACCAGTCGCGCGTAGGCTGAGCACATTGCGAGTGGACCCGCCCCTAAGCGGATTCGAACCGGTGACCTTGTGGCTGCAAACCAGACGCGCATAACACTCGGCCACCGGCCGACGCAGCTGGTCATGCTGACGTGCGGAATGAGTTGAACACACGTGCTGAGGCTGCGCCACTAGACCGGATCCTTATCAAAGTAGGCTCTGAACGATCCGATTTAAAACCTAAGCGCAACTGGCAAGGCGCGAAAGCAGCAGACGCCGCTTGCTCACTGTCGCAGCGTACGCTCTCACAGACTGCAATACTGAGTCAGGAAAAGAAGTTCTATCCTGACCGTAAAAACCCCGCAGCGGTATCGTGATGCTCAAGGGGGACTTGAACGTGCAGGTCGGTAGACTTGAAATTGACGAACGTGAGATCGGTGGTCAACACGGCCATGGCATTCGCAGAACAGACAACGGTAATCGCCTACTTCAGGTTTGCGAGGATCACGGCCTCTTTCTGTCGAGTAATAGCTTTCGCGGATCCTGCGCCAACGCGCCAACTGCAGACTCCCATCACCTGGACAGCCGTGGACACACATTGACCATATCATCATCATTTACCCTGGTGGGGCAGCATACAGAATGGCAAATCAATATGGAGTACCTATCTCACATCGGATCACGCAATGGTCTGTGCCAAGTTCACGCTACGTTTGCGTGGCTCCCAGCAACGTCGCCAGAAACGGTTTGACATGACTAAGCTTTCTGCCCAAATTTTCTCCGCGCACTTCAGGATGCTTTGGCCTCAAGGCTGAAGACTGCTACATACACAGACATTGAAGTACATTAAACACACATCCGCAGCGCCATGTACAACTCTGCAACCCCAGTCTGTGGCTTCAACAGTAGTTCTGTTAACCACTGGTCCTCTGCACGATCTCCCCAACTTCTTGAAGCCCATCGATCAATTACTGCAGGACTACCAACGCTGAGATCAAACAGCTTCTCCGTGAAGATCGTGAGGCCTGGTGGAGGTAGCGAGCCAGTTAGATGGAACAAGCGGTCACCTCCGAGAATTTACGTAAGTCATTTCTCCTGATCTGATGCACTGGCGACAAACGATCCAATGTAAGCTCAGTTGTATGCGAAATCAATGGCGAAACAATCTACTACCAAAAACGTCGACTTGAGCATTGGGCCGAGCACTTTGAGCAACAGTTTAATTGGTCAGCAGCACCAGCGAGTACTATTACCGGAATCCAGTGTTCCGTGGAGTGTAAACGCTTTACCACGAGAAGCGTCGTCTCTCAAAGCGCTAAAATGCCTGTGGCCCAAGGCAATTCCCTCCAGTTCTTTCCAAGGATGGAGGTCCATCAGTTGTTCGGGTGTAATCTTCCCTTCTGAATTCACCCCATCTAACTGGAGCCTAGCGGATATCGTGCCCGTCTTCAAAAATGGTACGCGAGCTGCGTGCATTAAACACATGTGAAATAGTCTCAGCTGTGTTGTTTCTAAGGTGTTTGTCGCTCTGATTTTAAGGAAGCTCAGATGGTACGCAAACAGAGCATACGTGAAGAGCAAGCTGGGTTCCGCTCTGGTCAGAGTTACATCGATCACATCTTTACACTCCGCCAAATACTCGAGAGTCGTCGAACATTTGGTCGGACAAACATCGCTGTCTTCTTAGACATACAAGCCGCGTTTGACTGTTGACCGAGCTGTTCTCTGAAGTTGTCTATTGAGAAGGAGTGCCCAAGAAGTATGTCACCATACTTCAAGCCATAAGCTCACAAATCTCGGGCGAGTGCGGGTATACGGCGGACATTCGCCCCCGTTCAGTATCACCGATTGCGTGAGACAGGATTACTCAGCATCCCCTTCTTGTTCAATTGCGCTATGGACGAAATCATAGACTGTTCTGGAGAACTTCAAACGCAGCGGCGTCGAGCTGTTCCCGGGGCACCGACTTCAGGATTTGGAGTTTGCAGACATCGCAGTAAGCTGAGATTCTTCACAGGTCGCCCAAAATGTCCTGTGTAGATAGATTGGAGATGTCCGTCACCCAGTTCGGAATGACTTTCGAACCATCGAAGTACAAGGCCTTCCTGCGAGACTGGTTAGGCTCCGCTCCTATCCTGACCCATTCAGGTCATTCGTTGGACGTGGTAGACAAGTTCGTTTACCTCGGAAGCTGCATTAGCGCTAATGGCTTAACGGATAAGGTCTCTTTGCGCATCTCCAAAGCTCGGGTTACTTTTGCTAATCTCCGCCATCTCTGGCATCGACGGGATTTAAGTTTGCAACGTTACGGTGAGAGCGGTTCTGCTCTATGACTGCCAGACGGCCAATTCGCGCAAA